GATGATGTGATGATGATGATGATGATGATGGTGCATGATGATGATTTTTGCTGAGATGATGATGATGATGAGATGATGATGATGATGATGATGCTGATGCTGATGCTGATGATGATGATGATGCTGATGATGATGATGATGATGATGATGATGATGATGATGATGCTGATGATGATGATGATGGCCATCATCATCATCGTTGTCGTTGCCGTCGTCATCATCATCATTCTCACCATCATTTTGATCTGCATGCCCATTTTCACATTCATCATGCTCCGCGATGTTGCTTCGCCCCGCAGCCGCCGCGCTGGGATGGAAGCGGCGCGCGGCGCGGTCGCTGGCGAGGCCCCATGCCGGCCGAGGTCTGCCCGGATGCCTCGCGGCTGCGCCCTGAGGGCGGCGCTGCTGGCAGGAAGCGTCTTCAGGACACGGGGGCAGCGGCCCAGGGAAGGGGTGAGGACGGACGGGGTTGGCGTGGCGTAGCGGAGGGCGATCAGTTGGGGGCGAAGGGACGTGCGCCTGTCGTGCCCTTCTTTAGGCCCCAGGGGACCCCTGGCAACAGGTGCACGAACAGTGCACCTTTCTCTTCTCTCCCCCCCCATGTATCGCCCCCCCCCCCCCCCATAACAGCCACTCCCAACGGGAGATGGATACGTCCAAGATGGGGATGATGACCCTGGGGGGGGTGATACCACGCCCGTGGCCATTACATCGTCCCAGATTTCATGGCCCCTGTTTTTCGTTCAGCGCGTCGCATGGCCTCCCTGGGGCCGCGCGTGTGCTTCAGGTCTTGATTTGACTTCCGCCTGGACACCCCCCTAGTGGACGCCCCCGAATGGAGGGCGTCAAACGCTTGCCAGCCAGCGTGGATCGCAGGCGTACGTGGAAATAAGCTGATGCATCAGTGAATACTGTAGGTTCGTGTCGTATCGTTGTTGCGTCGACCCAGTACCCAGTGCGGGCGTTCCAGGCTGAGCACCGCCAGTGGCTGGAATCCGCCAACACCGAGCGGTTTTACGCTCACAGAAAGTTGCCATCGCTCGATATTTAGCGCTCCACGCGAATCAGAATCCAACGCAGGACTCGCCACGACATGGATCTGCCGTGCGCATACATCCGGTTCTGTTTGTCGTGCGTGCATCGAGTACGGGTCCACTGCGCGAGCGCATCCTCCTTTTTTCTTGTCCATGCAGCCCTGCCCGCCGCAATGGTGGTTGCGCACGGGTGGTGCCGTCGTTTCGGCCGCATCTTGAACCGCTTGGTGACAAACGCAAAGCCAGAGACTCGGTCCTCACCCCGCGTTGCAAAGCTGAGGTGGTCGAAGGGAGACGGCGGCAACGGAACCAGTCTGCAAAGCAATCGCGTCACACGCCAATTTGGAGGCAACCGTGCTCTGGTATCAGCTGCGGCCTGAATGGCGCCGTCTTCTTCTCTGAGCCACGTGATCAGTCACCGTAGTACAAGGGGCGAGTTATGGCCACGTCGCCGAGGATCCCCCTCCGCATCCTCATGCCCTTCCATCTCCTTACCACCTTCCTCTCCTTCTGCTGCTTCTCCTTTCCTCACTACTTCTTTATCTTTACCCGCACTCACTCACAGGCCGACGACATTAGCCCCCTAAGGTGCTGCCAATCCCAGAGGGACAGCTCACTAAGCCGACGAGGGCCCCCCAGACCCCTGATGCGGCGCCAGACACTCCGAGGCAGCTGGCCAAGAGTGGAGACGCAGGGGAGGAAGATAGAAGAAGCGGAGATAGCAAGAGACCGCGGGGGGGGGATTTGGCGCCGCGTAATGGGGGGGTCATAAATGGGGGGGTGGCAAGGGTGGTTCGAAAAGGTACCCGACGGTACCTAAGCGAGCCCCCTGGGGCTCTGGAGGGGCCCGAAAGGGGCACGACCGAGGACCTTTTCTGACCCCCCCGTTTATGACCCCACCATTAAGCTAGCCCAAGGGGATGGACTGGGCATGGGTCTCGCCCACCCGCCTAAAAGACTGCCCCGCAGAAGAGACCACCCGCGCCCCGAGCCAGCCAGGCAGGGCCGCGATGCTCTTCCGGCCGAGCCCAGCCTCCGGCAGAGCCCCAGCCGGGCGGGCCCTGGCGGCAGAAGGAATGTCGCTCTCCAAAAAACTCCCGTGGCTGAGGCAAGAGCTTCCGCAACCGATGACTTTCAGTCTGGTTCCCGCCATGGGATCGCAGGGTCCAGGAGGAGGAGGAGCAGGAGGACTGGAGGAGGAGGAGGAGGAGGAGGTTGGAGGAGGATGGGGAGGAGGTTGGAGGAGGTCGGAGGAGGAGGAGGAGGAGGAGGTTGGAGGAGGAAGAGGAGAGGAGGAGGGAGGAGGAGGAGGAAGAGGAGGAGGAGGAAGAGGAGGAGGAGGAGGAGAAGCATGAGGAGGAGGAGGAGGAGGAGGAGTTGGAGGAGGAGGATAGGAGGAGGAGGAGGAGGAGGAGAAGCATGAGGAGGAGGAGGAGGAGGAGGAGGAGGAGGAGGAGGAGGAGGAGGAGGAGGAAGAGGGAGGAGGAGGAGGAGGAGGAGGAGGAGGTTGTTCGACCATCTAGACGCTGCCGTGTTGCCTCGCTTCGCCGCTCTGCCATCCTCTTCTTCCCGGCAGGCCCTCCGGCCCAGGGTTCTCTGCTTGTTCGCGGGCCAGGAGCCTTTCACCGGAAGGGTGTCGGGCTCTGCACGAACGAAATGGGCAAGGGAAGAATGGGCGCGATGCCCAACAGCAGTTCCTGTTCATTGTGAACAGGACTCGCTGTCCATGCCGCCGCGGCCTGTGTCCGTTCGAGGCAGAAGGCCGCCCGCCCAACAGCGGCCGCTGTTGCTTTGGGGCAACATTTGTTGTTGGGCATTGTACCCATCTTTTCCGAACCCATTTCGGGCGTCCAAACGGGCAGGGGCGCCAGAATTGGACATGGGGAAAACACGTGTGCGGAGGGGGGAAAGAGCGCGTTCTGTGGTCGCCCTCCATTTGCGAAGTGGTTGTGATTTCGCAAGCTTTATCATCATAAGTGGTACCCTTCTGACTGGCCTCGGGGTGCGACGGAGATGAGTTATTTCTGAGAAGTGAAACTCGGGGAGGATGAGACGGATGAGGTGGAGGAGGAGGAGGAAACGGAGGAGGAGGAGGAGGAGGAGGAGGAGGGGGAGGGAGGAGGAGGAGGAGGAGGAGGAGGGAGGAGGAGGAGGAGGAGGAGGAGGAAGAGGGAGGAAGAGGAGGAGGAGAGGAGGAGAGGAGGAGGAGGAGGAGGGGGAGGAGGAGGAGGAGGACCAGTGCAAACCCAAGGCTTACCCAGAAAGGTGGAACACACCGTCCTCTCGGATGGTCGCCGCAGTGGCCAGAGGAGCAGTGGAAAGGAGGAGGAGAGGAGGAGGATGAGGGGAGGAGGAGGAGGAGGAGGGAGGAGGAGGAGGAGGAGGAGGAGGAGGAGGGAAGAAGAGGGCGCAGGAGGAGGAGGAGGGGAGGAGGAGGAGGAGGAGGAGGAGGAGGAGGAGGAGGAGGAGGAGGAGGATTGGATCGGATCGGGTCGGGTCGGGTCGGGTCGGGTCGGGTCGGGTCGGATCGGTCGTCCACGCAGGGTTTTCGATGACAATGCGACCAGGGGGTGAAGCAGATATAACTCCAGCCCGAGGGGGAGGAGGAGCAGGAGGAGCAGGAGGAGCAGGAGGAGCAGGAGGAGCAGGAGGAGCAGGAGTAGCAGGAGGAGCAGGAGGAGGCCCAGACGGGCGATGTCTTGGTTTTGTTTGATGCAGGGCCCCCTGGCAAGCCTCGGCCCCCTCCCCAGGGCCACCTTTGCATATCCCTGGCAGTTCTCTGATGGCCCAGGGGCCCGGCGAGGGCTCCCGGAGACCAGAAACCGCCAAGCAGTATTTCAGCCGTTCTTTTTTTTTCCATTTTGCGCTCGTGTCCGGGTCGGGAGTTCCTTTGCAAGCACGTCGTTTTTGGCACCGCCTGATCCCGAGGCTTTGCCTCCTCCTGGCCTTGCCGTGAGGCCTCCCCTTCTGTCCCCCCCTCTTTGCTAACTCAAGCTTCGCGCGGCCCGCTTAGCTTCGACCGGAAGAGGTGCGCTCTCGACCCGCGAATCAAAAAAGTCCTGGTCGGGAGAAGCGAGTCAGGAGGGAAACAAAAACACACAGACACAATGAATCGTCGATCCCCCAGGGAAAATATGGGTAGTGGGGGGGAAGACAAAAATTCCAAACATATGGGAAAATATGTGGAATCTTTTTATTTGTGTGTATTTATTTGTGTGTCCCAGTTCCCCTTGAGGCCGGCCGAGAGTCCCGGTGCGCCCGCCCCTCCCGCCGGGTCGCCGCCAGGGCCGGCGCCGCCGCGCCGCCGTGGCGGCGGGTCCTCGACCACGGGGAGGTGCGGGGCTTCCCCAGCTACGAGGCGCCGCCGGGGGGGCAGACCAGAGTACGGGCATGAGGAGGAGGAGGAATGGGGAGGAGGAGGAGGAGGAGGAGAAGAGGAGGAGGAGGAGTAGGAGTAGGTGTCAAGCTAGCCAGCTCGAGCGAGTCAAGCATGGCATGCCCAGTCCCACCCGCCCTCCCACAACATAAGAAGCAAAGCTGGCACAACTGGGGGCCGAAGTCACACCGGCCAGCCGGTTTGGTACAGCTGATGCGGCCGCGATGGCGGTTGCCGACGGGAACTGGCGAGCGCGTGTTGAATGCCGCGCACGCATTGCCAGACGAGTCGAGAATGGCCCGGTACACCGCAGGAAGCCAGAGGTGGCCGGAGGAAGCCCGACGGTCTGACAGGACACCCCAAAGCATTTTTGTGAAAAAGCATTGGGTTTTTGATGTTTTTATGTTGAAATGCTTGCAAACACACGGTGTTCGGTAGGATTCTGACATGAACGCGCGAGTGTGCTCTTTGTGGTATTTTTTGCACAGGATTCGCGGCCTGGGTGCATGACAGAGCATCGCGAGTGCACCGCGCGATGACGTGAAATCGCTGGATTTGACAGAATTCTTAAGATTCCTATGGTTTTCCTATGATTTCAGCAAGAGAGCCCGGGCGGGAAATTTGTAGAATTTTTGTGAAAAAAGCATTGGGTTTTTGATGTTTTTATGTTGAAACGCTTGCAAACACACGGTGTTCGGTAGGATTCTGACATGAACGCGCGCGTGTGCTCTTTGTGTGTGTGTGTGTGTGTGTGTGTGTGTTTGTGTGTGTGTGTGTGTGTGTGTGTTTTTTTGCAATGGATTATCGCCGTGGACGACAGGACGTCCATGTCGAGAGGAAAAAAAAAGAAAAATGTTGATTTTGTATTGTTTTTTACAGGTTAGGATGGGACCACCCGGATGCGGCCCCTATCTGGCCGGCCTGAGGGGGGAGTAGGAGTATATTCTAATAAGGAATAAGGATAGGAGTAGGAGTCAAGCTAGCCAGCTCGAGCGAGTCAAGCATGGCATGCCCAGTCCCACCCGCCCTCCCACAACATAAGAAGCAAAGCTGGCACAACTGGGGGCCGAAGTCACACCGGCCAGCCGGTTTGGTACCAGAGGAAACCCGACGGTCTGACAGGACACCCCAAAACACTTTTGTGAAAAAGCATTGGGTTTTTGATGTTTTTATGTTGAAATGCTTGCAAAAACACGGTATTCGGTAGGATTCTGACATGAACGCGCGAGTGTGCTCTTTGTAGTATTTTTTGCACAGGATTCGCGGCCTGGGTGCATGACAGAGCATCGCGAGTGCACCGCGCGATGACGTGAAATCGCTGGATTTGACAGAATTCTTAAGATTCCTATGGTTTTCCTATGATTTCAGCAAGAGAGCCCGGGCGGGAAATTTGTACAATTTTTTTGTGAAAAAACATTGGGTTTTTGATGTTTTTATGTTGAAATGCTTGCAAACACACGGTGTTCGGTAGGATTCTGACATGAACGCGCGCGTGTGCTCTTTGTGGTATTTTTTGCAATGGATTATCGCCGTGGACGACAGGACGTCCATGTCGAGAGGAAAAAATAAGAAAAATGTTGATTTTGTATTGTTTTTTACAGGTTAGGATGGGACCACCCAGATGCGGCCCCTAATGGCCGGCCTGAGGGGGGAGTAGGAGTATATTCTAATAAGGAATAAGGATAGGAGTAGGAGCAGGAGCAGGAGCAGGAGCAGGAGAAGGAGGAGGAGGAGGAGGAGGAGGAGGAGGAGGAGGAGGAGGGAGGAGGAGGAGGAGGAGGAGGAGGAGTATGGGGGAGGATGAGTTTCGGGCTCTCTGCTCCGCCACGCGCAGAGGGGGGTCTGGGGGAGGGGGGAGGGCTTCCTAGAAGCGCCCCGGCTTCTGATGAGGCGCTGGCCTTGCCTGTAGATGGGAATCCGGCGCCTTGAAGGATCGGCCTTCTTCTGAGAAGGCCTCCTCCCTCCCTCCGGCCTTTCTGCGCGCCGCCAACCTTCCCTGGAAGCCCGTGTCGCAGTGGATCTGAATGAAATCTGCCCCCTCTGGAGACCGAGATTTTACCCACTGCGCCTCAGGTTTATGGCAACCCTTCCCCACAAATCCAAGACGCTGTGGAGATGATTACGCTTAAGTCGGGCCTGTCCCTCTACAGGGGTATTTTCGACGAAAAATAAAACTGCCCCAAAATAGTCAAACAATAGTCCAAAGATAGTCTGGGGAGTATTTGGCGTATCTTTTATTTTTCGTCGAGAGTCCCCCTGTAGGGGGACGCCCGACATAATCCTGGATCATCTTGCAGAGAGGAACACGCGTGCAACCGAACAGTGCCCGGGGAAGGCGCGTCCGAGCGATGGCACGCCTGGCGCCAGGCCTGCACTGGGCAGAGGAGGGTCACCAGCCTCGAACGTATCCCTATCCCAAAGATTGACACGCTAAGAGGAGATGACAGTCTGAGGGTTGCACCCTCAGAAACTGAGGAACTCCCTAAGATCGCCATCGTGATGAGGCGATGCCCAACACAGGGATAGGGATATGTCGGGCCGGACGAAAGGGGGGGATTGGGAAAGGGGAAATTTGCTGCATGCAGCTGGTTTCGGCCTCACCGAGGGGCCCATTCCTCGATACATGGCCGCCTCTGGCGCCGGGAGGCGCCGGGAAAATCAGCTACGTGAGCTGATTCTCAACCCCCCCCTTTGCTATTCCCCCCTTCGTCCGAACCGGATATGTTCCAGGCTGGTGAGAGGGGCGGCGCCGGGCAGGCGCCTGGCAGAGGCGGCGAGAGCGGCCGGTGCGCCCAGGCGTGCGCCCATAATTATGGCGGCCGTGCGCCGGACACGCCCCGCATAAGATGAAGCATTCGGGGGTGGACAGAACCCCCAAAACAGTGACACGTCGATTCGTGAATTGTCCGTTTTCGGTTCTCGAGGGGGCGCCGTGGCCGTTATTTTCCAGGCGTGCGCCCGCCAGGTTGGGCCTCAGGTCGTTTTCACTGAATCACGTTTTACTAAAGGGGGGCCTGTCCATCCCCGAAGCATCCTGTCCGCGCGGCAGCAGCCGGGGGGAGGCTGCAGCCCTCGCGGCAGGCTTTTTGTTGCGCCCTGTGCCTGCGCGGCGGCGGCCCTGGCGTGAGCAGTTTCACAGCGGAACGCCGACGGGTCCAGAATCGGCCCAGGCTTCAGTCGGGCCTGTCCCCCTACAGGGGGAGCTTCGACGAAAAATAAAAGGTACCCCAACAATGATCCAAAAATAGTCCTATCTGGGAGTATTTTTTGAATAGTTTGGATTTTTCGTCCACAATCCCCCTGTAGGGGGTCATGCCCGACCTAGGGCTAGGCATAGAGGCCGATGCCTCGACCCCCAATGGCCCACTCATGGCCGACAGGGGCCCGATGGCCCCCCCCCCCCGCCCAGGAAGGCGCGGACCATCCATCAGGGGCCCACCGCCGATCTGTCACTGTCGGCGATGCCTCGCCGATTCCAGGTCGATGTGTCCCCCCCCCCCCGGTGCCAGTCCCCCCTGTCGTTGCCCCTCATTGAGGGGCAACGACAGGGGGGGACCTGCAGGTAGTACCTGCTCGCGTCGTCGTCGTCTCTCGTCGCTCGTCGCTCGTCGCGTCGTGCGCGCGGGCGCGGCTGTGGTGCCGGAGCCACTCGGCGGTGGGGGGGGGGGTCACGTCATACCCCCCCCGCCCCCCCCCCCCCCATGACGCTCGTCATCGCCGAACATAAAGAATCGCGCTTCAAGTTGTGCAGGACGATCGATGGAGAGGAAGCATGTTGCCAAATCATTTTCAGAGATCTGAAAATGTCTTAGAGATGTTTAACACATGTTTTAAGCATGTTTGAAACATGTTCGGAACACTTTTCCTACATTATAAGCACATGTACAATTCAATGATAGGACTGTTCTAGGGTGTCCATTGTCGTGGCATCCACAACCCTCAAGCTGCCACCATCAGACGGGGTCGGGACAGCTCCCCGTGGCTTCCTCTGCGCCCGGCGGGGGCAGCCGTGGTCCTGAGCTGGTCCTCCAGCTCGCCCCCGAGGGCGAGGCTGGGCACCCGGGGCCGCCCCGAGCGGTGGCGACCTGCTTCGTGGGCCGCCGCGGGCCGCGTCGAGGCCCCGCCGCGGGTGGCGGGCCCCCTGGTCCGTCGAGTCGGGCATGTCCCTCGGGTGGACCCACAGTGATGGGCCTGTATTCCACCGCCGCCACCACCACCATAACTTGGAAGGGGAGGGGGTCTTCCTCCTCCTCCTCCTCGTCCTCGTCCTCCTCCTCCTCGTCCTCCTCCTCATCCTCCATCTCCTTCCCCCCTCCAACTTATGGTGGTGATGGTAGTGGAAAGCATGCCCATCACAAAGAAGGTCCAGCGACAAGGGGGTGGTGCAATAAGTTTGGTGCAGTAGGTTTGTGGGGTTGCAGTACATGTGGGGCGTGCAACACATCCCGGGGCGCATATGTACTGCTGGATTTTCGCGTGGCATGCATATTATTTGCAATCCAGTGCACTACAACGCAATACAATCCTCTGGCGCACTACGATTGCAATCCAAGTGCCCCGAATCTACTGCACCACCCCCTTTCAGCTGGATCCACTTTTGGGTCACCCAGAGTCCCTCTACGTGGCTGATCGGATGGGGTCGGGACAGCTCCCCGAGGGTTCCAGGACGGGCCGAGGTGTTCATCCTCATGCCTGGTCCGCTTTCAATGTGGTGCCAATGTGCCAATACTGGACGACCTTGATGAAGTCGATTGGGCGTCGATCAGAGCTGACCTCGCGCAATCATGGGGCTCTGTGCCAGGCACGTATCGATGATGCTGCTGGACTGGCGGGGTGTTTGGATGGCTCAGCTCGCCGATGCGATTGTAGACACTGGAAGACTGCAAGTGAGAGAAAGCGGCTTACGTGTTCGTGTGAAGTGCGTGTTCCCTCTATGTGTCGTCTTGCGTATGTCCCTCCTGTCCGCTTCCTCTCGCTCCTCCCTCCTCCCATCCTTACGTCTGCCTTCCGAACTCCGCATGCCCTCCTCATCATCATGTTCAGCAACATTCATCTTACTCATCATAATCAGCATCACAATAATCATCATCATCATCATCATCATCATCATCATCATCATCATCATCATCATCATCATCATCATCATCATCATTCTTATTATTGTCATCAGCATCATCATTATCATCATCATCATCGTCCTCGTCATCGCCATCGTCATCGTCATCGTCGTCAACATCGTTATCGTCGTCACCATCGTTATCGTCATCGTCATCGTCATCGTCATCATCATCATCATCATCATCATCATCATCATCGGCATCGGCGTCATCATCGTCATCATCATCATCATCATCATCATCAGCAGCATCATCATCATCATCATCGTCAGCATCAGTATCATTACTGTTCTCACCATCAGTGTCAGCGGCATTACCATTATCATACACCGTTATCATGGTTCTTGACGGTTCGCGCACGCCCACCAGCCCATCCAGACACGATGCCCATGAGAGTTGATGGGGGAGAAAAGAAGAGACACGCATAGGCAAACAACGAGGGATGCTTGGGAGGCTCCGTGGCCATCTCGAGCAGCCTTGAAGCGGTCTTGGGGCCGCGCTCGGGGGGCCCTTGTGCGCCTCTCGGGTGCCTCTTGGAGCCCTCGTGGGGCCTCTTGTGGCCTCCAGGGGCACTCTTGGAGCCCTCTTGGGGGCCTCGCTGCGTTGATATCCTATGGAGATGCACGGCTGCTCGACGCTGCTCATTCGCCTGTTGGCGATCCAATCCCGAGGACGCTCGCAGCGCGAATGGTCGGGGCCGACCGCTCAGACTTAATGGTCGGGGCCGACCCGGCCCATGAGCTCACAGTGGAGTGCTGTGGTCGGCTGTCCTGTGAATGGCGCGATCAGACAGGTTCGGACCCTCTGTGGCTGGCACACGGGTTGGGTCAGCGCAGGCTGTCAGTGGCGCTATTCTTGAAGTTAGCCGTAAGGGGGGCTTTGCCCCCTGCCGCTGGCCCCCTCTCTCGGAGAATGTGGTATGCAAGATCTATGTTGTGAGGCCTGGGCGCCGTCGTGAAGCAGCGTCGGAGCTCCAAATGAGGGTCACTGGAGTTGAGAGCGTGCCACAGTCCAACACCTAAGAAGCATAGCAGATGTTGGCCTCTTGGGCCCCTCTTAGGGGTGCTCTTGGAGGAGCGCTCTTGGGGGCCTCTTGGGAGCCTCTTGGGCCGTCTTGGGACCATCTTGGGCGCCTTGGAGCACTCTTGGGCCGTCTTGCAGGCCTCTTGTACGGTCTTGGGGGGCTTGTATGACGGATTGTGGCTTCGATCGCGCACATACTGCGTAATTTACGATGCAAACTAGTTTCGGGGACGCAAGGAACGCTTAACTTACGAGGGAGCGTGGCTTCCTTCGGGGACGCAAAAATAGAATCATGTTCGAGATATTCTTTCCTCGCGAATCTGGCGCAGTTTGCAATGCGTTATGGTTTCGGGAGCGCGAACACGGAAACTTTTCGAGGGAGTATGGCTTCGGGGACGCGAATCTTGTGTAATCTCCAGAGACGTCTGGCCTCGTGGTCGCGAAGATGGTGCAATTTGCAAGAAGGAGTATGGGTTCGGGGGCGCGAGTGTTCCACGATCCCCCAGAAGTTCCGAGAACCCCCCCAGGGGGTGGAAACCAGAGCCCTTTTCCCCCCAACCGCGCGGGCTTCCAACAACTCACACTAGGAAGCAGAACGTAGGACCATACTATGGGAGACCTGCAACCGGAACTTGAGCAAGTAGCAGCATGCCTAGTCCGCAGAGCCTTGTGGCCCCACACGGGGGCCTGCGCGGAATCTACTTCGCTCGCAGACATCGAGAGGAGCTGCTCGAGGGGGCGGACCGGGGCTCGCTGACGTCCCCCCTGGCATTCGGCATGCTCTGAAGGGCTTTCGCTTCCACCACGCCAGGAGCCTTGAGGGCCTGTGGCAACTGGTATGTGGCGTGCCATATTTGGTAAGAGCGCAGTAGGTATCGGCGAGTGTGGCAGGCTCATGCCCCCCGATCGCCGAACGTTGATGTCAGACGCTTCGCGTAACCCCACCAGAAGTGGGCAGAACTCGGAGGAATGGTCCCCCAGTGGAGGCCTCTTGGAGCGTCGTGGGGGCTTCTTGGCGGTCCCGGACGCCTCTTGGAGCATCTGTGGTGCCTCGGAGAGCTTCTTGGGGCCTCTTGGGGGTCTCTTGGGAGCCACTTGGAGGCCTCTTGGGCGCCTCCTGGGGCCTCCTGGGGCCTCCTGGGCGCCTCTTGGAGCCCTCTTGAAGCGCTCTTGGGAGCCTTGGGAGCGCTCTTGCGGCCATCTTGGAGGACATCGATCAAAGTTGCCCCTCGGGAGCCCAAAAAGCCTCTTGGGGCGCTCTTGGGGGCTCTTGGGCCCGTCTTGGGGCTCTATTGAGCCTCTCTTGGAGCCCTCTTGGGCCATCTTGGAGCCATCTTGGGGCCTCGGATGGCCATCGGAAGCGAAAAGGCGAGAAAGCCGCAAAGTCAGATGTTCCTAAGGTTTTGGAAGGATTTCGGCCTCTTCGGGGCCTCCTGGGGGAGCTTTTTGGCCACTTGGAGCCGCCTTGGAGCGGTCTTGGGGCCTATTGGAGCATCGTGGGAGCCATCTTGGGGCATCTTGGGATATCTTGAGCCATCTTGGAGGTCATTCTGGGCTCTCCCAGGCGCTCTAGGAGTCATCTTAATCAGTGCCCCCCCCAGGAAGCCAACATGTTGTCAAAACATTAATATGGTTAATGATTTTGGCATTCTCGCCGAGGCCTCTTGGGTGCCCGCATTGTCCCTGGTTGGCTCCCAGTCGCCTGGGGGAGGGGGTGTATATTTGTAGGGAACAGTGATAAACCCCTCCCGAAGGGGAAGAAGGGGGTTGGAAGAGGAAGCTCCCTAGACCACCTACGCCCTAAAGGGCTGGTGGGAGTCAGAGAAGGGCAGCGAGTGCGAGAACGTCGCCTTGTTGGGGCCTTGGTAACGTACGTCGCCATTCGCAGAATTTTGCAGCAGCTGCGATCATGTGTGCTTCTCAGTCGGGCTGTTCTCCCTCATGGTGGTTAGATTGGATTGCCACGTCAGGCAGCGAACGCGCTGCTGGATACGTGGGTCAAGGAGTCGTGCGCGTTCTTTTTTCGATCCCGCTCAAGGCTGGCATAACTCTTCGATGTGAGCCAAGCGTCCATCTGATTTCAGTATACAAGCGTTCTAGGCAACCGTCCTCGCACCGCCTGTCCTTTCTCCGTTGCCCTTTGATGCAATATGCTTGCCGCATTGTTCTGTCGACGTTCTGAAGTTGTCCTCGGAGATCACATCTTGTGTCAGCTCGTCTCTTGGGCTCCTCCTCCTCCGCGGCCGCCTGCTGGTCAAGTATTGGTTGCTTTTCTAGTACATGAGTGTCCGACGTACTTTCAAGCCTTGCAACTTCGGAGCAGGCCCTTTCTCGGTCATCGTGGTTTCAGTCGGGCAAGGACCTCTCTGGCCTTCGCTCGTTCAGGCGATTCTGACCATTCATGGCTTACAGCTCCGCAGCAGCAACCTCTACACCACCCCTGTGCCTGAATAAGGCCATCTTGGGCCTTTGAATGTTGTTATATGCTCTACTGTCATATTCCAGGCGGCGTATATACCATGCCAGTGCCCAAGATTGCACTGGCCAGACATGGTGGTGGCAAATGGGTGCTCAAAACACGCTCCAAACGTTCCCCGAATCCTCCTGGGGGCCATCCTGGCAAGTGTTTCACTCCGCATCGATGCCTGACGTTTCAGGGGCCCGAAACTGGACCCCTGAGGCCGTAAAGGCAAACAGCTAGGCAACACTTCGACCGTCGAAGCGGCGACATCTGGTGTGCTAGTGTTTTTGCTGGAAACCTTGGTTGGTCCTCAGGTGTGTGGCTGGGCCCGGGGGAGCAGCATCGACGCGGTCCCAGGAGGTCTTCGGTGCCTCGAGGCAGGCAGGTGCTCGAGAATGCCCCTGGCGGCCCGAGGGAGCAGATGGAGCAGGATGGGGAGGAGGAGGAGGAGGAGAAGAAGGAGGAGGAAGAGGAGGAGGATTAGGGAGGAGGAGGAGAAGAGGAGGAGGAGGAGGTTGAGAATGAGACGGAGGAGGAGGAGGATGAGGAGGAGGAGGAGTAGGAGGAGGAGGAGGAGTAGGAGCAGGAGGAGTAGGAGGAGGAGTAGGTGGAAAAGGAGCAGGTGGAACAGGAGGAGGAGTAGGAGGAGGAGTAGGAGGAGGAGTAGGAGGAGTAGGAGTATGAGTAGGAGCATGAGGAGTAGGAGGAGGAGGAGGAGTAGGAGGAGGAGAAGGAGGAGGAGCAGGAGGAGGAGGTTGGAAGAGGTTGGAAGGTGAGCAGGAGGTTTGATTCGGTAGTCCTCGAGGGCGCAATTCGAGCTCTTGATTGCCGAGTGAGTGCCGCACGCCATGAATATTCATGGAGGAGAGAAGCAGGGGAAGGTTGATGAGGATGAGGAGGAGGAGGAGGAGGAGGAGGATGAGGAGGGGTTGCCCAGGAGGAGAAGGATAAGGGGTCGGAGGAGGTGCTTAGGAGGAGGAGGACCAGGGTAAACCCTAGGCTCACCCACGTTGGAATTATCCCTGCCTCCAGGCTCCCTCTTCATAGACCCTATAAGGATTCACGTCCACTGAGGGAAGTGCCCCGTTGGGAGACAACCGCTTAAAGATCCTGGAACATGCCGAAGACACAATGTTCGGGACTCCAGCGCCACGAGCCAATCTGACCCATGCGTTCTGCCGATTCTGGACCGTATCTGAACACCGTTCCTGGGACTACCGCTACGAATGAACGTAACTGTCGCGCCTTGACGACCCTGCTGCCATTTCTATTACTCTAACCGTGGGACTTTCAAGAACCGAATGTGTGCGGCGCTAAGGCGGAAAACATTTTGGAAACTACCCGCCCTCGATCCGTGGAACTCTTGCAAACTATGTTAAAACAGATGTGCGCGGCGCTAAGGCGATAGCCACAGTTTGAAAACGACCCGCCCTCATTCCGTGAAGCTCTTGAACATTTCGGGAAAACGATTGTGCGCGGCGTTCAGGCGAGAGCCACATTTTGAAAACCACCCGCCCTCGATCCGTGGAGCTGTCGCAATCTTTGAAAACGAATGTGCGCGGCGCTGTGGCGAGCGCCACATTTTGAAAACCACCCGCCCTCGATCCGTTGAACTCCAACAGGCTTTTTAAACAGCAAATGCGCGCGGCGCTAAGGCGAGAGCCACATTTTGAAAACCAGCCTCCTTCAATCCGTGAGCCCCTTGCGTACTTTGGTAAAACGACTTGTGCGCGGCGCTCAGGCGAGAGCCACATTGTGAAAACCAGCCGCCCTCCAATTCTGACGCTGTTGTCAATTGTTAGGCTTCCGGGTCACAACTGGTAATGACGTCCCATGCGAAGCGCCCGGCCTTGCAATTGACCTCAGGGTGCGACATGGAGGAGTTATCCGCAAGGGTTTCGCCCCCTGCCGCCGGCCCCCCCTCTATCATATTTGCTTGGGGCGCGATTTCTCGAGTTTCCAAAAAAAAACTGCCAACTCGGGAGTGCCAAACCGTTGTAATACTCGACAGAATGTGGCCTCTCACGTGAAGCTTGAAGAAAGTACCAGCGATGTGGCATCGGGAGCGCGAATCTTGAGTAGGCATCTTCGACGGATCGTAGCCTCGGGGGCGCGAACGTTGCGTAATGTATGAGAGGTCGTGGTCTCGGAGTTGCGAACGTGGCGTCACTTACATGGGATCGTGGCCTCGGGGGCGCAAAGATTTTGCAACTCAGGAGGGATCGTGGCGTCGGGGGCGCGAGTATGGTAGAATGGACAAAGGGTTTATGCCTTCGGTAACGAACATTGCCTGATGTACGACACGGCGGCGCGAATCTTGCGTAGTTTAGAACGGGGGCGCGAGTCCGGCGTAAGTCACAGACATAATAGCCGCGGGGACGCGAGCGGGGCGTCGGGGACGCGACTACTGTGCAACTGACAAGGGATGGTGGCCTCGGTGGCGCGAAGATGGTGCAATTTACGCGGGTGCGTGGCCTCGGGGACACGAGCCTGGTATAATTTACCAGCGATTCTGGCTTCGGGGACGCGAGCATAGTGTACGAGGGCTTATGGCTTCACACAACTAGGGCGTAGTTTGCTCAGGTTTATCGACTCGGGGCTGGCGTCTCACTTATTTTTGTATGGCCCGCGCCCCCCCTAGGAATTCTGGGAACCCCAGGAAGGGGACGCTAACGGGGCCCTTTTCCGCACCCCCCCCCCTCGCGCGGACTTCAACAGTTTACAGTAGGAAGCAGAACGTAGAATTATCACAATGGACACTGGAAGCTGAAAACTGGAGATGGGAGCAGCAAGCCTGAGCTTCGCAGCCTAGTGGCCCCGCAAGGGGGCCGGCGGATGCGGATTTATAAGGAAAGGCATGCAGGAGTAGGTAAGAGCAGAACGGGGATGCGGAGGAGGAAGAGAAGGAGCAGGAGGAGGAGAAGGAGGAGGAGGAGCAGGACAAGGAGGAGGAGAAGGAGGAGAAGGAGGAGGAGAAGGAGCAGGAGGAGGAGAAGGGAGAAAGGGTATACATTGAGGATGAGCTGGAGGCGCTTCGGAGGTGGAGTCGGAGGAGGACAATCAGGATCAGGTTGGAGGTTTGCCAGGACAACACAAGATAATGATCATGATAATCATTGCCATACTGATGATGCTGATGACGATGCTGATGATGATGAGGATTTTGATGCTGATGCTGATGCTGCTGCTGCTGCTCATGATGATGATGATGATGATGATGATGATGATGATGATGATGATGGTGAGCATCATGATGATGATGACGTCGATTACGATGATGCTGATGATGATGCTGATGTTGCTGGTGATGACGATGGTGACGACGATTAAGATGATGGTGATGATGATGATGATGATGATGATTTCGATGATGGTGATGGTGATGACTATGACGATGACGATGACGATGATGATTATGTTGATGGTGATGGTGATGACGATGACGATGATGATGCTGCTGCTGATGATGTGTTTGTTAATGATGACGGTCATGATTATGGTGATGGTGATGATGATGCTGATTCTCATGGTGGTGGTGGTGATGACAATGCTCATGTTGATGATGATCATTGCATGGTCATGGATCATGGTCATGGATCTGATGATATGCGATGCTGCTGATGATGATGATGATGATGCTGTCATGATGATGATGATGATGATGATGATGATGATGATGATGATGATGATGATGATGATGATGATGATGATGATGATGATGATGATGATGATGATGATGATGATGATGATGATGATGATGATGATGATGATGATGATGCTGATGATGATGATGATGATGATGATGATGATGATGATGATGATGATGATGATGATGATGATGAGAAGGAGGAGGAGGACGACGACGAGGCTTGAAGCTGAGGAGGACGATGTTGGAGGAGGAGTAATGCAGGAGTCGTGAGGAGTTGGAGGATTCCTAGTTCGCGCAGGCCCATTCGGCAACGGTCCACGGATCTCACCAATTGCAAAGTTCGCTTGCCGAAGAACCCTCTCCTATCAGCCAGCACACGTTGCCAAGGTAAGTCGCCGCCTGCAATCCGAGCGACACTGTCAATGAAAGTCTGCCCCGTCCGCCAAGCCGCTCCAGGGGCAGGCCGCAAAGGACGTGGACCCGACCTGCAGCCCGAGCCTGTCGCTTTCCGCTCCGCATGCGGTGGCGGACCGGGCTCCGTGCTCGCTCGGGGCCTTGGCTCGGCCCGGGGGTGAGGCTTGAGGGGGAGGAGGAAGGGTCTCTCGACCGAATAACAAACGACACCACCCCCACCTACGGCCCTCCATGTTGCGCTACAGCCCATCGGGCGCCGTAGCGCATACCCCCCTGGGGGCGTAGGTGAGGTGGTGTCGTTGGTTTTCTAGTCCAGAGGAAGGGATCTCCCTCGGAAGCTCGTACAGAAGGGGCGTCGAGAGAGGGTGCAGCCTTCCAGAAGGCGGGGGGGTCTTCTCTTGAAGGCGGGGCGCCTTCCTCCCGAGAATCGCCCGGATGCCGGTGAGTAAGGAGGCTCCTCCAGAGGCGCGAAGGCTTCTGAGGGCGCAGCCTGCCTCCTGCTGCGCCCCCACCCCCCCGTGCCGCTCTCGGGGAAACTCTCCGCGAGGCCTTCCGCGAGGCCATCTCAAAAGCACACAGCGTCTGACGATTCGCCGGAGGGGAAACAGATCGCCGCCGCCGTTGTCGCCGCCCGCCGCCGCCGTCGTCGCCGACGTCGCAGCGGCCGCCGCAGCCGTCGCCGTCGCCGTCGCTGCCGCCGCCGCCGTCGACGACGGCGCCGACGGCGCTGTGCCACCGCCCCTCCGTGCCGCCCCCCCTGCCTTCTCGGCCGGCCGCCCGCGCCACCCGCCCGGCGCGCGCCCTGTCAGTTCCCGGGCGCTGCGGCCTCCCTCCGCTCCCCCACTCCTCCGCCCCATCCTCCCTCCCCCTCCTCCGCCTCCGCCTCCTCTCCCTCCTCCTCTTCCTCCTCCTCCTCCTCCTCCTCTCCTCCTCCTCTCCTCCTCCTCCTCCTCTCCCTCCTCCTCCTCCTCCTCCTCCTCCTCCTCCTCCCTCCTCCTCCTCCTCCTCCTCCTCCTCCCCCTCCTCCTCCTCTCTCCCTCCGCCTCCTCCCTCCTCCTCTCCCTCCTCCTCCTCCTCCTCCTCCTCCTCCTCCTCCTCCTCCTCCTCCTCCTCCTCCCAGCGCTGGGAAAGGCAGATCTCAGAGAAGGACAACGTACCGATTCCGCTGCCCTCTCTACCAAGTTTCTGATTTTCTGGGCCTCCTCGGGGGCCCTCGTCGCCACCGCTGGATTCGCCTCGAAAGGCTGGTCAGAACGCACCCCCGGGGAGGTCCGGGGAGTTAGCGGTATCGGTACTTTTGGGTTTCCCTAGTGTCCATCTGGCTGTCGGACGGTAAGGGCAGCTGTCTCTCGCCCACCTATCTTGGCGGCGCGCGCAAACGGGGGCAGGGGGGGGCGCGGAAGGCTTCCCGGAAGGACGCTGCTTCTCAGAAGGCGCCGGCCTTGCAGCAGCAGACACGGCCCGCGCCGTCTGAGAGGCAGGGGTGTTTCTTCTGAGAAGCAGCTGCCTCTCGTCCACCTCTCGTCCACCTCCTCGCCCTCGGCGCACGTCGGGCGAGGTGTGCATCCCGCGGCCGCAAGGGAAGGGCAGATGCCTCTCGTCCGCCTCTCGTCCACCGCCTCGCTCTCGGGGAGCCTCGGCTTGGCGCCCTCGTGCGCCGCCGCAGCCTGGCCACCGTCCCCGCGCAGGAGCAGCCTGGCGTGCTGCGCAGGCAGGAGATCGGGCACAGCTACGAGCAGAGGCGGCGGCGCGCAGCCGACGGCCTCCGAGGGCCTCCCCCGACGATGACGACGAAAACGACGACGACAACACTGCAGCGACGACACTGGCGGCGTCGACGACGGCGGCGGCGGCGACGGCGTCGGCGACGACGACCACGCCGAGGCCGACGCCGACGTGGACGACGCTGACAACGACGACGCTGACAGCTTCGACGACGGCGGCAACGCTGACATCAGCGGCGGCGGCGGCAACGGCGGCGACGGCGTCGGCTACGACGACTACGCCGACGCCGACGCTAACGTCGAAGACGCTGAAATGACGACGACTTCGACGAAGCTGACAACTGACAACGACGACGGCAACACTGCACCGACGACGCTGACTGCGACGACGGCGGCGGTGGCGGCGACAGCGTCGGCGACGATGGCCAGGCCGACGCCGACGCCGACGCCGACGATGCTGACAGCGACGACGACGACGGCCTCGACGATGGTGGTGGCGGCGACGGCGGCGTGGACGACGACGACGACGTTCCCGACGTCGACCACGCTGGCAACGACGGCGGAGGCAGCGGCGTCGGCGACGACGACAACGCAGACGCCGACGTCGACGACGTTGACAACCACGCCGACGACGGCGTCGGCGACGACGACCACGCCGACACCGACGCCGACGTCGATCACGCAGACAACGACCATGATGGCGTCGACGACAGCGGCGGCGGAGGCGTCGACGCCGGTTACGACGACCCCACGACGACGCCGACGCCGCCGCCATCGTCGTCGTCGTTAGTGTCGTCGCCGCCGCCGCAGCCGTCGTCAGTGTCATCGACGTCGGCGTCGCCGACGCCGACGCCGCCGCCGTTGACCACGCTGACAGCGACGCAAACGGCGTCGACGACGGTGCTGGCGGCGGTGCCGACGTCGGCGACGACGACCACACAGACGCCGACGCCGACGCCGACGACGCTAACAACGACGACGGCGGCGGCGGTGGCGGCGGCGACGACAGCGACCACGTCTACGCCGACGTCAGCGTGGACGACGTTGACAATGACGACGACGACGACGACGGCGTCGACGGCGGCGGCGGCAGCGTCGGCGGCGTCGGCGACGACGACCACGCCGACGCCGACGTCGACGTCGACGACGCTGACAACGGCGACGGTGGTCGCGGCATCGACGACGTCGGCGACGACGACCTCGCCGGAGCCGACGCCGACCTGGACGACGCTGACAAAGACGACGACGACGTCGACGGCGACGGTGGTGGCGGCGGCGACGGCGACGACGATCACGCCGACGCCGACGCTGACGCCGACGACGCGGACAACGACGACGGCGGAAGTGGCGACGACGGCGTCGGAGACAACGACCACGCCGACGCCGACGCCGATGTTGAGTACGCTGACAACGACGACGACGACGACGACGGCGTCGACGACAGCGGCGGCGGCGAAGGCGTCGGCGATAACGACTACGCCTGCGTTGACGCCGACTTCGACGACGCTAATAACGACGACGACTGTGTCGATGATGGCAGCGGCGACGTCGGCGGCGTCGGCGACGATGGCAACTCCTTCTCCGACGCCGACGTTGACCTCGACGACGCTGAGAACGACGGCAGCGGTGGCGGCGACGATGACCACGCCGACGCCGACGCCGACGCCGACGAAGCTAACAACGACGACGACGGCGGCGACGGCGTCGACGACGACGGCGGTGGCGACGGCGTCGGCGACGACGACGATGCTGACGCCGACGCCGACCTCGACGACGCTGACTTCGATGGCGGCGGCGGCGGCAGCGTCGGCGACAACGACCACGCCAACGCCGACGTCGACGACGCTGACAACGACGACGACGGCGTCGACGACAGCGGCTGCGTCGGCGATGCCGTCGGCGACGACGACCACGCCGACGCCGACACCGAAGTCGATGACGCTGGCAACGACAACGACGACGGCGGCGACGGCGTCGGCGACGACGACGACCACGCCGACGCCGACGCCGACGTCGACGACGCTGGAACGACGACGACGGCGGTGGCGGCGACGGCGTCGACGACGACGACCACGCCGACGCCGACGCCGACGCCGACGACGGTGACAACGACGACGACGACAACGACGACGGCGGCGGCGACGGTGATGGCGGCGGCGGCGGTGGCAACGGCGTCGGCTCGACGATTACGCCGATGCCGACGTCGACGACGCTGACAACGACGACGGCGGCGTCGTTGGCGGAGCCGGCGACGACGACCACGACGACGACGGCGTCGACGACGCTGACCTTGACGACCACGACGACGACGGCGTCGACGACTATGCCAACGTCGACGACGCCGGCGACGACGACGAAAACAACAGCGTCAGCGACGACGACTATGCCGACGCCGACGCTGACAGCGCTGACAACGACGACGACCACGGCGGCGGCGACGGTGTCGGCGACGACGGCGACCAATCCGACGCCGACGTCGACGACGCTGACGACGACAATGACGGCGGCGGCGGCGGCGACGGCGTCGGCGACGACGACCATGCCGACGCCGACCATGACGACGACGCCGAAGACAGCGACGACGACGGCGATAACGACGATGACGGCGTTGACGGCGGCAACGACGACGAAAACGATGGCGTCAGCGACGACGACTGCGACCACGCCGACGCCGACGACGACGCTGACGCCGCTGACGACGACGTCGACGTCGATGACGCTGACAACGACAGCAAAGGCGGCTGCGTGGGCGGCGGCGGCGGCGGCAACCACGCCGACGCCGACGCCGACGTCGACGACGCTGAATACGACGACGACGGCGTCGGCGATGGCGTCGGCGACGACGACGACCACGCCGACACCGACGTCAGTGAAGCTGACAACGACGACGGCGGCGGCGTCGGCGACGGCGTCGGCGACGACGGCCACGCCAACGCCGACGCCGACGTCGACGGCTTCGACGTCGACAACGATGACGGCGGCGGTGGCGGCGACAGCGTCGGCGACGATAGTCACGCCGACGCCGATGACGCTGACAACGACGACGACGGCGTCGACGACGTCGTCGACGACGACGGCGGCGGCGTCGGCGACAACGACAGCGCCGACGCCGACGTCGACGACGCTGACAACCACGACGATGACGGCGTCGACGACTGCGGTGGCGTCGGCGACGGCGTCGGCGACGACGACGGCGTCGACCACGCCGACGCCGACGTCGACGTTGACGACGTTGATGACGACCACGACTGCGGCGGCGGTGGCGACGGCGTCGGCGACGACGGCCACGCCGTCGCCGCCGCCGACGTCGATGATGCTGGCCACGACGACGATGACGGCGGCGGCGTCGGCGACGACGACCACGCCGACGCCGACGTCGACGCCGACGCCGGCGTCGTCGACGCTGACAGCGACGACGGCGGCGGCGGCGGCGTCGGCGCCAGCGCCGACGACCAGGACGACGACGACGGGGTCGACTTCGATGACAGCTTCGACGACGCCGGCGACGACGATGAAAACGACGACGACGACAACGACGACGACGACGACGACAACAACACTGCAGCGACGACCGACGGTGCCGGCGACGACGACTACGCCGAGGCCGACGCCGACGTCGACGACGCTATCGACGACGGCGGCAACGATGACGGCGTCGGCGACGGCGTCGGCGACGACGACGACCACGCCGTCGCCGACGCCGTCGTCGACGACGCTGACGACGACATCGACGGTGGGGGCGGCGGCGACGGGGTCGGCGACGACGACCACGCCGACGCCGACGCAGACGTCGACGACAGCGACGACGACGGCCTCGACGACGATGACGGCGTTGACAACGGCGACGGCGACGACGAAAACGATGCTGAGCGGTGGCGGCGACGGCGTCGGCGACGACGTCAACGCCGACGCCGACGCCGACGTCGACCAGTGTGAAAACGACGGTGGAGGCGTCGGCGTTGTCGACGACGGCAACAACCACGCCGACGCCGACGCCGACGTCGACGACTCTGGCAATGATGACGACGACGACGGCGGCGACGACTGCGGCGGCGGCAACGGCGTCGGCGACGACGACGGCGGCGACGGCGTCGAGGACGACGACCATGCCGACGCCGACGCCGACGTCGACGACGCTTACAACGACGATGACGACGGCGTCGACGACGGCGGTGGCGCCGGCGACGGCGTTCCTCGTGCTGGCCCCTCGCAGGGCTTTCATGGAACCTCGACCGCTCAGAAAAGGGAGCGTTTCCGCGTTCGTTGTAGAATCACGACCTCACGCTCTGTCCTGGTTTTCGCAGATACGCGACCTCCCTCGATATCTGCGCACCGATGTAGGACCGGACCCATCGGTTTGCGCCTTGGTTTTCAGGACCGACACTCAGGTCCATCTTGCATACATGGCACCGTTCCAGCTTATTTTTTGCTCTAGTCCACGTTGGTGTTCGGCAGACTGGCTCATGCAGACATGTCCCAGCTCCTCACGGCTCGTGTTCCTTCTATGCGCGCCTTCGGTGATCGAATCGATCGACCGTCGATCCTTTCAGCTATGTTTGCGACGCTGCCTCGGGCATGCGTACACGGTGGCGGCAGCCGAGCTGCGATCCCCCCCCATCGACTTTGAGGGTGCGTCGGGGGTGGACAGAACCCCCAACAGTGACACGTCGATTAGTGAATTGTCCGTTTTCGGTTCTCGAGAGGGCGCCGTGGCCGTTATTTTTCAGGCCGCGCCCGCCAGGTTTGGGGCCTCGGGTCGTTTTCACTAAACCACGTTTTACTAAAGGGGGGTCTGTCCATCCCCGAAATATGGCGTATGTTGCTAAGGTTTATTGGCTCGGGGCTGGCTTTCCACTTCTTTTTGTATGGCCCGCGCCCCCCCTTTAGGAATTCTGGGACCCCCAGGAAGGGGACGCTACACCCCGTCCCCTAGGAAGGGGACGCCACCCCCCCTCGCGCGGACTCCAACAATTTACAGCAGGAAGCAGAACGTAGAACTGTCACAAGGGACACTGGAAGCTGAAACTGGAGAAGGGGGCCAGCAAGGCGCCCCGCGGGGCCTCAGCGCGGCGTGCCCGTCCGCTGCCATCTCTGGCCCACGGCGGCGCCCCCGAGCTGCCAAAAACGCTGCGGGGCGCCGCGTGCCTCGCTCGCTCTGCGGCGGTGGGCAGGCCCACACCGGGCACGGCCAGGACCCCAGGCAAGGGGACCCAGTTTTGTGTTATGTCGGGCGTGTCCCCCTACAGGGGGATTTCCGACGAAACATACAACAAAAAACCGTAAAAAATAATCCAAAAAGGTAAAAACATACACCCACAATAGTCCCCATACTATGTTTGGATAATTTTGGGGGTATTTTTTTATTTTTCGTCGAACATCCCCCTGTAGGGGACAGGCCCGACTTAAAGTTTGTAGAACAGGGCCCCGGAGCCCCCAAATGGGCCAGGATCACTAAACCAGGTCTGCCGCAGCTGGTGTTTCTCGGGTGGCGGCAGTTCGGGTCAGTGGAACGGGGGGGGGGCCTCCCCCAGCACAAGTCACCGAACCAGGTCACACTGGACCCAGTTCTGCCAACGCCCGACTACGTCCGGATCCGACAGCCCCCCCTGCGATCGCGCTCTCCACCCTCTACATTCAGGCATGTCCCAAGACCCGGTGGCACGCTCATGTCAGGCTGGCCGGATCTGGAGGCACGCGCGAAACCGAAACAAAAACACAGGAAATGCACGTCCGAGCGATGGCCAGTGGCGAGCTCGTGCCCCCGCCCCACCCCCCACACTGTTTTTTCCCTTGGCTCGAGTTTGGACCCTGGGGGAGGGGGGGGCGGGTGGGAGGTGGACGCCCAACCACTTCACACGCCCTTTCACCCCTGGCAGGCGGGGTCTGCGGATTGGCGAGCACGCCTGCGTTGATGAGAACAGCAATGGTGCTGGCGTTGACCCATGAGGTGCAATCCCGGGTGAGCGTTTCCACAGAGGGACCTTGTGTGTGTGTGTGTGTGTGTGTGTGCGACCCCGTCGCGTGGGACCGCATCGTGTGGAACCCCACCATGTGGAGCCTCTTCGTGTTGGAGTACCGGCGGGGGCCCTACCGCGTGGTGCCCCCACGGAGTGGGGCCCTGCTGCTTTTGTATGAATTCAACGGATGCCACGAGGATCAGAGCGTGAATTACCTACCCCGCTTCCGCGTGCGTCCTGGGGCCCCTTTAGTTAAGGCCGCAGGCGGCCGCGGAGTGCCAGAAAAATCTTGGTGTCCAGCGCCATTTTTCAGGAGGGAAAAGAACACACAGACACAATCAATCGTCTACTCCCCAGAACTATAGGAAAATATGCGGACGCCTTTTATTTGGTGTGTATTTATGTGTGTGTCCCAGGGCCCCTTCAATTTTACGAGAGAACAAGCGGGCGCCTCTGAGCACTAGTACTGCCTGGGGAATGTCGTGCGCCGCTCACGCAATCGAGGAGTTGCTGCACGGGGTTTTCGTGACCCGTGATATCAGCTTCGTTTTTCCTACGCGGTGTGTATGCTCGTCGGTGGCACTGGGTGTGAGTCACATGTGAAGCGCATGCTTATACGGAACACGAGGACTGAATGTTAGCATCTTGTGTTGTCGCAGGACTCGCTGGCTCTCGACAGGACCTCGTGAGTGCGGGAGCTGGGTTGGATTGCATTTGCCAGACACGCGCGGGGAATGCAATGACCTCCTGCACATATACCTTTACTGAGTAATCGGTCGTCCACGCAGTGTCGTTTGGGAATTGGACAGGCGGTTTGCGTAAGCGATTGTTTTTCAAGGGCAGTGTTTCCCTGGTAGGTTGAATCAGCACCCGTGCAAGCAATCTGTGTTTCTTGAGTTAACATGCTTCGTATATGCCTTTCCGCTCTGCTGCAGGCCCATCCACGCCTACGTGCTCGCCGCGAATGCCTCTGAGTCCCAAGGGCGGCCGAAGGCGCCCGCATTTCAGCCCCCGCTGGCTCCACTGCTCGATGCTGCCACTTGCGCGTGTTGAGGACGAGCTGCCTTGGCCTCTGATCCCTGTCGATTTCTCCGTGGCTGCTGCCCACTGCTTCATTGTCCTCTCTCCACTGTCCGCAGACAACGTGTGTGCACTGTACCGCGTTGGCGCGCCTCGAGGCGTCGTCGATCTTCGGCCCAGGAACGGCACGAAGCATAGTTTTGCGATGGTTTTGCGGCCCGCGGAGCCGAATTACTATGCAGCGAACCGCGTTGGAGCGGGGCCTGGGAGGAGTCTAATTTTTTGTATGTCCGCGGGCGCCAGGTGGTGCAAAACGGTCAGGCGCCGTCCAGCGCAAGCGGTGGGGCGCACAGGAGGTGGACTGAGGAACGAAAGCGAAGGAGAACAGAGTACGAGAAAAGAAGAAGGGGTCGGTTCCGACCGTGCAGGCTGGCGCGGGGATGCCGATGAAGAGCGCGCGGGCTGCGTCTGAGCAGCAGGGCCGCCAGCCCAAAGTGGAAGGCCTCGGAGGTGCCGCGGCGCGCCAGGAAGTCCGGGGGAAGTCCGGGGGCCCGGGAGCGGCGCAGCAGACTCGAGGGCGTCCAGACGCGGTGCGGTGCAGGGGCGCCGCCTTCTCTCGTGCGCGGCAGCGCGTCCGGGCATCTCCCCCCCAGTCGCCCCCTCCCCGAGCAGGCCCGCCCTCGGTGGTCCGAGGATGGGGTCCCGAGGGATGGGCGCCTCCGGACAGGAAGAGGGTCCACGGGTGGGTCTATCGGGGGCGGAAATGAGGGGGGTGATGACTAGGGGGGGTGGACACCATGGCGGGGGCCATGATATTTCCCGAGATTTCATGGCGCCTCTTCTTGTTTCATTACGTCCCTGGTCCCCCCGCTGGGCCGCGCACATGCCGCCAGTCATGATTTGCACCCCCCCCTCTTGGACACCCCCCTTCTGGCCGCTCCCGAGTCTACGTTTCTTGAGGCACCTCGTCCTCAGGACCTCTCCCGTCGGCGGAGTGGCCTCTTGGCCGCAAGGGGGCGCGTCCACATGGACCGCGCCTCACTGTGGGCCCTGCTTCAGAAGTGGGACACCTGCGGCGCCCTGTATTCGACCCCCACTTCGGATCTTGCTGGGACGAGGCGTGCGGGGCACTCAGGGTCCCTAAGGATAGCGACCATGACCGTCTTATCCTCAACCCCACTGTAGTAAACAGCCGCTGCGCTTGGACCCCACCTTCGAATCACCGACGCCTGCCTGGCTCCCGCGCTCCCGGTTGTCCCCGCTCGTCCCGATCTCCAGAGGCTGCAGGAGGGCCGGAGGAGGGGGGGAGCGAGAGGAGACCTCGGGGGGAGTAAAACGACGCGAAGATCGGGACAAAATCGGATCGGGATAACTCGAAATCTCTGAGAATCGGCGGGTTTGGAGGATGTATTGGGCCCCGCGGCCGCTCCAGAGCGTTCCGGAACGCTCTGAGAGCGCTCCGGAACGCTCTGGAGCGATTTATCCCGATCCTAGCCCTGTTTTAGGGGGGCAGACAGAGGAGAAGAAGCACGCGGGACGGAGGAGGGAAGATGGGAGGCGAGGAGGCGGGACGGAGGAGGAGACGAGGAGGGATGTTGGAGGCGGGAGCAGGAGGGATGGGGAGGGGGAGGTTGGCAGGAGGACCGAGGCTGCTGCCCGAGACCGGTGCCCGCCAGGTGCTGCTCACCTCCCTCATGCACGCGCGGGAGCCGGCGAGCCTCACCGTGGTGCTGAACTTCCTCGGCGGGGGCTCGTCAAACGATGCGAAGATCGGGACAAAATCGGATCGGGATAACTCGAAATCTCTGAGAATCGGCGGGTTTGGAGGATGTATTGGGCGCCGCGGCCGCTCCAGAGCGTTCCAGAACGCTCTGAGAGCGCTCCGGAACGCTCTGGAGCGATTTATCCCGATCCTAGCCCTGTTTTAGCTCTGGGGCGGGCCCGGCCTGCTCTGCCTCCGGGCGCGGGGTCCGACCTCGGCGGGGTCTGTCTTGGGCGGGGTCTGCCTCTGGCGCCGTGTGCTGCGACGTCTGAGCTTCGGCGCTCTGGCGCCCACGCCGAGCTCTTCGAGGGCCGCCTTCCCCCCCCCTTACCTTGCCTTGCCTTGGTTGGGGGCCAGCCATGCAACCGTTTGTTCGTCGCGGTGTTGGGGGGGGTCTGGATCGCCGCGTCCGGGCACGACCAGGGGAGGTCTTGATGCAGCTACCCCTAGAGTTCAGTCGGCCATGTCCCTCTACAGGAGGAATATGAAAGAATAGTAAAAACTAGCCTGTTGACGATTTGACGTGCTATTTTGAGTACGTTTGACAACTGTTTGACTACTTTTCATGTTTCTTCCAGAAACCGCCTGTAGGAGGACATGCCCGACCTAACCCTAGACGGCAGTGGACTGGAAGCGTTTGTTTGGGAGGGTTGTTCCCCCCCCGTCATTCATGGAGTGTCGCCCTGACTGTCGGTGTGGATGCCGTTCCCTTGCCCAGACTCTACACTCATGATCGGAGCGCTGCTCAAAGGCTCTGCTGCAGTCACCCAGCGCGCGTGCTCCTGCGCTCGTCCACGCAGACGGAAGCGCTGCTGCTTCTGCTGCCGATCTGGGGAGAGTGGGGGGACGGGGGAGAGACGAGCTTGGGCAGCCTGGCTGGGTGGATGCCCAGCGAGGCGGTTCGCATGTGCTGGTGGTGGATCGAGGGGGCCAGGGCGGGTTGGCGGTGGTCTCCTCCCCGATCCCCTTGCCCCCCCACCCAGTTGCTGCCCGTGAGATGAGGGCGAGCGGGGCAACACAGAGCGAGGCAAGAGACCGGCGGGCCAGCCTGCTCCCCCTAGTGGTGGCCCGCGGCCCCTGTGGCCCCGGGCGCCTGCTCGAGCTCCGCCCGAGCTCGCTGCCAGCAGCTTGCTGAGTCGGACGGGGCGAGGATGCGGATCAATCCGTTCCAAAGCGTGCCGGAACGCTCTCAGAGCGTTCCGGATCGATCTGAGAAGGCCGCGACGCCCGAGGCATCTTCCAGAGCCGCCAGATGTCAGAAATTCTCGATTTATCCTCACCCGAATTTTGGCGGCCCTCAAGAGGGGGTGGGGCGAAAGGGGCGGTCCCCAATTGATCAAGGGAGGAAATACCACCCATACCTGAACACTTTGCGTTTACGACACGGCCCTGAGCGCTTACTAAACAGCCTTGCCTTGTTCGATTTCTTCCTGTGGGGCGTTTCCGAAACGGTTTTCGCCCGTCGGGGTGCTTATTCTGGGGGTGGATTCTCTGCCCTCTACTGTGAACCCCTGCTGCGAAGCCCTCCCGCTCTCCATAAGCCTTCTCGCAAGCCTCCGAGCCCTTTAAGGAGCCCCCTTCCTTTCAGGAAGGCCGCCCCCGTCGCTCCACCTTCCGACCCAACGTCCGCTCAAGACTGGTTCCTGGCTCCCTAGCGGTAAACTCACCGTGGCTAGCTTCTCGAGCCGCGTTCCGCCGTGGTTGCGAGGTCCCTCTAAAGGGGTCCGAGAGAGGGGCGGCAAGCTCCCAAGCCCCACCAGAAGGCCAAAAACATCAAATGAGGAGCGATCAGGAGGAAGAGTCTGAGGAGGAGGATGAGGTGAATCAGGAGGAGTAGGATGAGGAGGAAGAGGTGGAGGCTGACGCTGCGATCTTCGTCGACTTCCTTAATTTTGTTTGACGCAAATAGGAGGAGGAGGAGGATGAGGAGAAGGAGGAGAAGGAGGAGCAGGACGAGGAGGAAGAGGAGGAGGACCAGTAGGAGGGCGAGGAGGATCTTGAGGAGGAGGAGGAGGCTTACGCTACGATCTCCGTCGATTTATTTGTGTTCGACGCGAGCAGGAGGAGGAACTGGAGGAGGAGCAGGGGGGGAGGAGGAGTAGGAGGAGGAGGAGGAGGAGAAGGACGAAGAGGAGGAGGAGGAGGAGGAGGAGAATGGCGAGGAGGAGCAGGAGGAGGAGGACGACGACGTGGAGCAGGAGGGGGATGAGGAGGAGCAGGAGGAGGAGGAGGACCAGTGCAAACTCAAGAGTCACCAACGATGTAGGAAAAACAACTCTCCATCTAAGCTCCCTCTTCATAGGCCCCATACAACGGTTCATTTCCATTGAGGGAGCTGCTTTTGTTTGAAGACCCTCCAGCATGCCAAACATCGTTCTCGGGATTCCAACACCATGGATTGCCATGGATCAACTTGACTGTCTCGTCTTGACGATCCTGAATTTTGCCAGAACGCCATTCCTGGGACTGCAACACCGCGAATCAACTTAACTGTTGCACACGTGTCATCCTGAACCCTTCCAACATAGTTTCTGGCACGTTGATCATGGGAATCCGTGAAACTCTTGTAGTTTTGAAAACACATGTACGCGGCGCTCAGGCGAGAGCCTCATGTTAAGGAACCGCCCTCAACCCGTGAAGCTCTTTTAAACTTTAGAACGAATGCACGCGGCGCTCAGGTGATAGCCACTTTTTGAGAACCATTCGCCCTCAGTCCGTGAAACCCTTGAATTGTTGAAGCAGGAATGTGCGCGGCGCTCAGGCGAGAGCCACATTTTGAGAACAGCCCGCCCTCCATCTGTGAAACTTGTGCCAATTTGTTCAGCTTCAGAGTCCTAATGGTGAGGACGTCTCAGGCGAAACGCCCGGCCCGACCTAAAATTTGCCTCGGGGTGCGACAGGGAGAAGTTGTTCATAAGGAATCTGGAGGAGGAGGAGGAGGAGGAGGAGGAGGAAAAGGAAAAGGAGGAGGAGGAGGAGGAGGAGGAGGAGGAGGAGGAGGAGCAGAAGGAGGAGGAGAAGGAGGGGGAGCAGGAGGAGGAGGATGAGGAGGAGGTCGATGGGGCTCCTCTGCTTGCTCTTCGGCTGCGGCGCCCCAGAGCCCAGGGCGCATCCTCGAGCTCTACTCGAGTGGCGACCCGGAGGCGCCGCGCACGTCCGCGCGCGCCGCACGCCGTGGCGGCCTCCACTGCCGCCGCCGCTGCGCACGGCCGCGGGCGAGGGTCGTCAGTGGAGGGGGGGGGGGATAGCCAGAGGAGGGAAAGCCCGACGACCTGACGCTCCCCCAAGAATCGAAGCGCGCGATGTTGGGCCGTGTTCTTCTCCTGGGGCCCTGGCCGGGCCGCGGGAGCGTCAAAGAACGACCCCGGGGGGAAAAGCCGGCCCTAGTATAGGGACGTGATCCAGACCATCCGGGGCCCACGCATGGAGTATTTCGGGGGCGGACAGAACCCCCAACAGTGACACGTCGATTAGTGAATTGTCCGTTTTCGGTTTTCGAGAGGGCGCCGTGGCTGTTATGTTCCAGGCTTGCGCCCGCCAGGTCTGGGCCTCAGGTCGCTTTCACTAAACCACGTTTTACTAAAGGGAGGTCTGTCCATCCCCGAATATTGCAGCCAGATGTTTGGGAAAGATGCCGCTACCCTTTCTACCGTTTGCCCCCCCTCGTCGCCACCGCTGGAGTCGTTTCGAAGGCCTGGTCAGAACGCACCCCCGGGAGAGGACCGTGGGGTGTCGGTATCGGTACCTTTGCGTTTCCCCAGATGAGCGACGGAAAAAAGAGGGTCGTCTGCGCCGACAATGGCGCGTAAGCTGCCCGCGTAAGCTCGTGTATGCGCCCTCGTCTCCCTTGTGGCGTGCCGCGCTGGCGGCCCGAGTAAGCCGGCCGCGGAAGGCCCTTGTGGCGTGCTGCGCTGGCACCCAGTCCTCAACCCGCGCCAGCGGGGACACAGGCAGCACGGTGGCCAAAACAAGCGCTGGGACGACGAAATCACCACTTACTTACGTCAACGCAGACCAGACCTCCACCGACCGCCCACGCAAGCCCATTCGAAAGGACAACCGAACGACATCACATGGACGCAAACAGCCCAAGACACCGAAGCATGGACAGCGCTCGAGCACCACTTCACCGAACTCACGTCGACCAGCACCCGGGACTCAGACCAATGAGGTAATCTCGCCCAACCCGCGCCGACACCGACACCAAGGACTTTCTTTTCCTCCTTCCCCCCTCTCCTCCTAACTTTTTACATGTCTCGCATTGCATGAATCCAGACACCTCAGATCCTAGAGGCCATGGCCTCACCCACCTGGTCTGCTCTAGGCCCGGACGCTGTCCGCAACGGTGGTCGCATCGTATCGCATCGCATCGTTACGCCATCTCGCGCAAGATCCGTTTTTAATCGTCGCTGAGATGGGCTGCAGGAGGAGGAGGAGGAGGAGGAGGGGGAGGGAGGAGGGAGAGGGGGAGGAGGACAAGCTAGGTGCGCTCATGTCATATCTGACGTCCTACCCCTTCTTCCCATCTCTTACCATGGCGTAGATCTCCTCTCTATTCGCACAGTCGTCTGAGCAGGGCATAGCATTACATAGCATAGCATAGCATGGTGTTGAAGATCAACGCGTAGCCTGACATAGCATGGCATGGCGACGCCCCAACGGGGGGGGGAGTCTTCTGCGGCCCCAAAACATCAACGAATCGACACCGAACGTGTAATCACTTTCGATGGTTGTTTCGGGAGGCCATTTTCTAGATTTTGGAGCCTATTTGGAAGGACCGAGAACCATGCCGTGGCATGGCGCTGCAAATAACGACGCCAGCGCGGCAGTGTGAGCACGATTCGGAACGAGCGGAAGCGCGGAAATGAGGCCAGCGTTGCAGCGGGAGCACGATTCGTAACGAGCGGTAGCCCAACATGAAACCAGCGCTCCAGCGAGAGCAGCATTTTGAAACATAAACCCAAGCGAAAGCCCGTTTCCCGGGAATCCTGTGTGCAAACACTTGTGCGCGGAGGGGGGGCGAATAGTTCCGGGCCGTCACCAGGGGGAAGAGGAAAGTAGTATTCATATAGTGTAGTTGAGCAGGAGGAGGAGGAGGAGGAAGAGAAGGAGGAGGAGGAGGAGGAGGAGGAGGAGGAGGAGGAGGAGGAGAAGATGGTGGAGGAGGCGGAGGAGGCGGAGGAAGAGGAGGGATGATGATGATGATGATGATGATGATGATGATGATGATGATGATGATGATGATGATGATGATGATGATGATGATGCTGATGATGCTGATGCTGATGATGCTGATGATGATGATGATGATGATGATGATGATGATGATGATGATGATGATGATGATGATGCTGATGATGATGATGATGATGATGAGGAGGAGGAGGAGGAGGAGGAGGGAGGAAGAGGAGGAGGAGGAGGAGGAGGAGGAGGAGGAGGAGGAGGAGGAGGAGGAGGAGGCGGATGAGGGGGAGGAGGAGGCGGAGGCGGAGCAGTAGGGAGGAGGAGGGCATCGACCCCTGGATCGCCCATGGCTCGCCGAGAGGAGGCATGCCCACCCCGCACGGGGCGTGTGCGGATTCGCCATCGGGGGACTGTCGTCGATCTGTCGGCCGGCTCCAGAGGCAGTCTCCCCCATCGATAAAGGTCGGGCAGGTCTTCCCAAAGAGGAAACAAGAGCCTGGGGAGGATTCTTCGATCATTTTTGTTGGGCTACTCTTTTTGGCATGTTCGGACTATGTTTGCTTTTTCCTCCATGCTCCGCCTGTAGGTGGACATGCTTTTGACCCTATCGTTGCCCCTCAGGTCGGGAGGCCCGCAGGTAACAGGGTGCGGCGGCGCTGACAGGGGCCAGCCTTGGAGACGACGGGGGGCCCGCGCCTTCGTCGTGCTCGACCGCTTTCGGCCTCCCGGGGCCCTCGCCGGGACCTGGGGCCGTAAGCAAAGACTGCTCGGGACTTGCTCTGAGGCAAGGGATGGGACTTCCGAGGAACCCGTATGGAGATGTTCGAGACACTGTACGTATGGTTTGGTTTAGCGCACGGAAAGGGGGGTTCAGGCATACCGGCACTTTGTGGGCCCCGGAAACGGCAGGGCCGTTTTTTTTTCACCGTTTCCCAAAAAAGTGCCTCTTAAAAATGGAAGCGGCCAAAAAACGGCGACCGAAAACGGCAAAAAAACGGCTCCAGGATTGGAGCCGGAACCGGTCAAAAAACGGCGACGGAACCGGTGAAAAAAAGCGTCGGAACCGGCAACACAACGGCAAAACGGAACTGGTAAAAAAATTGCCCTGTCGTTTCCAGGGCCCACTAAGTACCGGCATGCATCGATATCAGCTCGCTCGCGCCACCATCAGCAATAACTCGGCGGCGAGCGAGGAGGGGGAGGGAGAAGACGGAGGCCTTCTCAGAAGGCGGCGGGGCTTTTCAGAAGCCCTCCAGCCCTCTGGGGAGCTTCTGTGTCTTCGAGCCGTCCGAGAATGCCCGCCCCTGCGCATTTTCCCCCCAGGCTCGCCGCCGAACAAACAGCATCTCCACCGCTCGGGCAGCGCACTGGCGGACTGGGCGCCATAAGGGATCGGCTGGCCTGTGATTGGGATGATTTGTTTTTTTCGGGCGCTCCGAACATCTGGTCTCAAGGCCCATGGCGGGCCCGAGGCGCCTCAGGGCGTTCGCCTCCAGGAGTCGGGTAAGGGACCCGGTTAGTGGTAGGGCCCCAGAGCCTTCGAATTGGCCAGAATCACGAAACCAGGTTTGCCATAGCTGGTGTTTTTTTCGGGTGACGGCAGTTCCGGTTAGTGGAAATGGGACGGCGGGGCGCCCCCGGTACAGATCACTAAACCAGGTTCCACTAAACCCAGCTCTACCAACGCCCGAGAGAGGTCCCCGAATAGCCCCCTCCCCCAGGGACCCCAACCAGAGGGGCCCCTGGGCCACAGCCCAGGCGGGATGGCGGGACCTGTCGATAGGGGAACGAAAAATGGCATAAACACAAAAACTCGGAGGTCCGCGCGGATTTCTCGGATCGGCGCTGGGGCCCCCCGGCGGCGCCTCCGGCGCCGCCCCTGGCGCGCTCCGCGCGCCAGGGAGGAGGGTCCAGCGCCGATCCGAGGAATCCGCGCGGACCTCCGAGTCTTTGTGTTTATGCCATTTTTCGTTCCCCTATTCGAGGGCCGCCAGGTGCCTTCGTGCTCGTTGGATGTTCTCTGCTTGCGTGGGCCGACGGGGGTCGTCGTGCTCGTGAGGGCTGCTCTTCTGGCCCGGGTCCGACCTGCCTCTCGGTCGCAGAGGCCTGAGCTCGCCCATCCCTGCCCCGTGCGGGGCGCCGCTCGGGCGCCCTCCCTCCCGCGCCCCCCCCCCCCCTTCGCTCTCCACCTCGAGGCGGGGCCCGCCTCCCACGTCCTCTCCTCCCTCCGCTCCCTCGTCTTGAGTCGGACAGGTCCCTCTACGCATCTCCGAGCACAGTATACGACTACCGCCACCATGATCGAGAATCATCTGCGATGCGATTTGGTGTAGTGCTGCTCGGGTGTAAAGCCCGCAGTCCCCCCCCCCGCCGCCAACGGCAAACGGGCTGCACCCCCCTCTCTCTGAATGACCGAAACAGAATTCATCAAAACACGCGCGGTGGTGGTGTATAAAATTTTGGTTGCCAAGAGGAACGAAGTTTATACGCCACCACCAAGAAATGCTGTTTCTGCTCCAGGAGCTCCCAATGCCACGGCGCCTGCGAGCTGCGCCGCGCTCCTTTTCGCCGAGGCGTCGCAGCGTCGTCTGGCATGACCCTGGCCCGACCTCCTTTTGCGGTAAATCACTGTTACGGGCGGTGGTGGTGTATCAAAATTGGTTTCGATCTACAGGGGTTCCCAACCATCCTGTGGTGTTGGGTCCTCGTTTTTTGAAGAAGCGGTCTCCGCGTCTCGTCCTTCGGTGCCCCCCCCAGTGGGGTACCACATGCGTCCGCCATACCCAGTACAGCGTATCGTGGTCCCATAGGGAACTCTACCGAAGGCCCCAGTGGGGGGTACCACATGCGTCCGCCTCACCCAGTACAGCGCTTCGTGGCCCCATAGGGAGCTCCACGTAAGGCGGGGTGGCCACATGCGTCCGCCACACCCAGTACAACGCTTCGTGGCCCCATAGGGAGTTCCACGTAAGGCCCCACAAGGGGGTACCATGTGCGTCCGCCACGCCCAGTACAGCGCTTCGCGGCCCCATAGGAAACTCCACCGAAACCCCCAGTGTTGGTACCGCATGCGTCCGCCATACCCAGTACAGCGCTTCGTGGCCCTATGGGGGGCCCCACGTCAGGCCCAAGTGGAAGTGGCCACATGCGCCCGCCACACCCAATACAGCGCTTCGTGGCCCCATAGGGCTTTCTCCACCGAAGCCCCCAGTGGGGGTACCATATGCGTCCGCCACACCCAGTACAGCGTTTTGTGGCCCCATGGGGAGCTCCACCGAAGGCAACAGCACGGGTGGCCACATACGTCCGCCACACCCAGTACAGCGTTTCGTTGCCAGTGGGGCCGTCCGCATGCATCCCGCACACCCGATTTGGCATTTCCAGCCATCCAGTACACACGGGGCGTTCCAGGCGGGGCCTCGCCTGCAGGGAGCGGAGGCGCCGCCGCCTCCTCCTCGGCGAGGGGGCGGCAGAAGCCCGCGGACGTCACACACTTGGCATCGCTCGGACGTGTGCATGTTTTTGTCGGCGAGGACCTTCGAGGAACATCCTCGACCTTTTGGCGAGAAAACCACGCACGAAACCGAAAAAAAACACAGGAAATGGACGTCCGAGCGATGGCCAACACATGGGGAAACTGACAGTGGCATGAGCACAACAACTCGCAGGTCCGCGCGGATTCCTCGGATCGGCGTTGGACCCCCCTCTCTTGGCGCGCGGAGCGCGCCAGCGGCGGCGCCGGAGGCGCCGCCAGGGGGCTGCAGTGCCGATCCGCGAGATCCGCGCGGACCTCCGCGTTGTTATGTCTATATCATTGCGTGGTTCCCTGATAAAAACGGCGGCGGCTCCGCTGACGGCCACAGCTGCGGAGGTGGGGGCGCGCGGGGGCGGGGCTGGGGCACAGCTGCCTCGTCGCCTTCGCGCCCGCACCGACAAGGTGACACAGACTGTCAGTTTGCAGCAGATTGCCACCTCCGACCGACGTCCCGCATATCTCAGCACGCCGCCTCTACCCCTGTGACATTGTCATTGCCTCTGCAGGTCGCCGTGCCCACGACCCAGGTAGCCCGCATTGACACGTCTCGTGGTCATCAACGGCCGCGTGTTGATGCCCGCGCCACCCTTCGTCGCCCTTCCAATCCCGCCCCTCGCCGCTGTCGTTCTTTTTCCACCGATGCCTCTGCAGCCTGGTCGTCTGGTCGTCCGTGGTCGTCGCCAGAGGCGTTGTCGCTGCCCAACTCACGATAGTCAACCCGCACCAGAAGGACGAGTAACTTGCCAAGGGTACCCTTGCGTCCTTCCCTCTCACCCAATCCTAGCCCTTGGCCGTGGGCCACGGCCTTCCAGCTTCGGTCTCAATGTGTGCGCCCAAGGGCCTTGCATCCTCGCCGCGCATCCCTGCAATCCGCTTGCGCCGTATCATGCCAGCCCCCAGCCCATCTGCTCCCTCCGTCGTTGCCCGCATCGGGCGCGGCTAGGACGAGGACAAATCCGTTCCAGAGCGTTCCGGAACGCTCTCATAAGAGCGTTCCAGAGCGCTCTGCGAAGGCCGCGGCGCCCGAGACATCCTCCAGAGCCGCCGCATGTCAGAGATTCCCGATTTCATCCTCGCCCGAAGTTATCCTCGTACCGGCTTCGTCTCAGTGGTGCTGTCTCAGCCTCCGCCCATCGCCGGTAGCCGCGGCCCCAGGCCGCCAGCGTCATGAGCGCTCGTGAGCTCTGGCTGGTGCCGCCCCCCCCCGGCGCTGCTGCGTGTCGGCACCTCCCGCAGGAGCGCGGTTTTGGGGCAGGAGCAGGAGGGCGCTCGAGGAGGTGGAGCAGAGAGATATCCGCAGAGGCAGCGATGGAGGCAAGCATGGGCGGATGGCGGACGGGGCTACTACGAGGATGAATCCGTCCCACAGCGTTCTGGAACGCTTTCAGAGCGTTCAGGCACGCTCTGAGAAGGTCGCGGCGCCCGAGACATCCTCCAGAGCTGCCCGATGTAAGAGATTCCCGATTCTTATCCTCACCCGAAGTTCTCCTCGTCCTGGCTTCGCCTTAAGGATGGTGAGCGATAGTATTAGGATTCAGTCGGGTCTGTCCCCCTACACGGGGATTTTCGACGAAAACCAAAAATACACCAAAAATGATAGAACAATAATCCAAAAATAGTCTGGGGACTTTATATATATATATATATATATATATCTTTTTGGAGCATTGTTGGTGTTTATTTCAATCTTCGTAGACAATTCCCCTGTGGGGGGACAGGCCCGACTTCTTATTAGGAGGCGCGTTTCTTCGAGAGCCGATGGCTTCCTTCGCTGCCGAGGCTGTCGCTCTGGGCGACGCTGTCCAGGCAGCGGTGGCCATCACGAGGGCTGTACCGTCGGGCCGAGGTCTGAGATCGAGGTCGGTTCGGGGAGGGTACCCCAGAGTTAAGTCGGGCGTGTCTTTCTACAGGGGGATTTTCGACGAAAAATAAACAACCCCAAAATACACCAAAAAGGTAAAAACCAAAAAAAAAACTCCAGAAATAGTTCCCATATCATGTTTGGACTATTTGTTATGTTTGGGGTATGTTTTTACTATCCGTCGAACATCCCCCTGTAGGGAGACAGGCCTGACTTAACCCTAGTGTTCTTTATGTTCGTTGGATGTTCTTGTGCATGGAGGGGAGGGCACCCTTGGATGTTATGTTTCTTTGGGCCGACGGGGGTCTCATGGTTTTGAAGGATGTTCTTCTGGCCTAGGCCTCATGCCATTGCCAACCAGCCGTCATGACGATATTTCCTGGCGGAAGAGGGAAGAGATGGGGAGGCAGAGCAGGGCAAGGCGCACCAAAGACCTCTGCGGGGGGGGGGCAGCGAACTGGAGCGGAGAGGGGGGAGAGCAAACTGGAGCGAGCTGGAGCGAGCTCGAAGGATTTTCTCGAAGCATTTATCCTCACCCGAAGTTCTCCTCTTCCTGGCTTCGTCTCAGCCCTCCCCCCCGGGGGCCGCGCCGCCCGGGTTGGCCCCCCGCGGCCGACGGTGGCGGCCTTGCGCATCATGGAGGGCAGTTCGCGTGGAGCGGAGAGGAGGGCGAGCAACGGTGTTCTCGGCTCGGTCGGTTCGGTTGCTCTGGACGCCCGACATGGGTACCGAAAGAATGGGTACAATGCCCAACAGCAGTTCCTGTTCATTCTGAACAGGACTCGCTGTCCGCGCCGCCGCGGCCTGTGTCCATTCGAGACAGAAGGCCGCCTGCCAAACAGCGGCTGCTGTTGGCTTGGGACAACATTTGTTGTTGGGCATTGTACGGTAGGTTCGTGCGGCGTTGGCGCGCCAGCGACGCCGGCGAAAGCCCTCAAGGTTGAACTCTGCGACGCGGAAGCACCGAGGGGCACGGTAACGCCGCTGGACCCGACTGGATTCAACCTTGAACGATCGGGGCCGCGATCGGTTCAAGGTTGAACAATCGACGCGGCGTCATAAACCTTTGCGCGCACCGACGCCGCGCGAACCTACCGTATCCATTCTTTCGGTGCCCATTTCGGGCGTCCAAAGTTGCGTCGCAGTCGGTTGCGTCCTCGGTCGGTCCGGTTCGGTCGGCTACTCCAGATTTCGTAAGAAAAGGGAGGGGGTCACAACCCTCCCAGACAAGAAGGTTTAGACCCCTCCAGACTATCCATGGAAGGGCGGCCCTTTGCCCAGACCCCCCCGAACCCTCCAAGACAGCTCAAATTAGATCCCCCCCCGAATGTGACCCCCCCCACTTTGTTATGGAATCCGGGGTACTGTGCCGCTGCCGCGTCGCGGCGCCCTTCCAGGCGGCTCTCGGCCTGTCGAGTTCGGTCGGCGTCGGCCTCGTGGTCGGTGCGGTCGGTTTTCGGTGTTGCGGTCGCCGTGCCCGGCCTGGGGAGAGGCGTCTCTAACTGCCCAGTGCTGCCCCATAACCTTCTGCCCCTCCCCCTCCTCCTGCTCCCAGGAGGGAAAAATCGGGGGTGGACAGAGCCCTCATAACCTTCTACCCAGTGCTGCCCCATAACCTTCTGCCCCTCATGTCCCAGCTCCTCACGGCTCGTGTTCCTTCTATGCGCGCCTTCGGTGATCGAATCGATCGACCGCCGATCTTTTCAGCTATTTTTGAGACGCTGCCTCCGGCATGCGTACACGGTGGCGGCGGCCGAGCTGCGACCCCCCCCATCGACTTTGAGGGTGCGTCGGGGGTGGACAGAGCCCCCAACAGCGACACGTCGACTAGTGACTTGTCCGTTTTCGGTTCTCGAGAGGGCGCCGTGGCCGTTATTTTCCAGGCTTGCGCCCGCCAGGTTTGGGCCTCAGGTCGTTTTCATTAAACCACGTTTTACTAAAGGGGGGTCTGTCCATCCCCGAAAAAAACACCGACGCGAATAATCATCGGCGATCCCCCAGGGGACGCGGAGAAATAGATGACGGGAGGGGTGGGGGGGGGAAGAAGGCCCGGAAGACACGGAGAAGTACGAGGAATCCTGGGGGGCCTTTCTCATCGGTGTGCCCCTGGGCTATGATGTTCCAACCTACTTTAGCCTAGATCACCAGACGGAATGTCGAGCGCCAGAAAAGTACCCAACAACTCAAAGTTTTCACGTGCCGGGCCCTGGGAGACCTTCGCCCGACACTGCTTCGGCACCATCTCGACACTCTCTCTCGACGCTTCTCTGGGTGCTCGAGACCATTTCTGGGATCTGGCCCTCAAGTGCGATGGGAACAGCATAGCCCCTGGGCCCCCTCAAAGTCTAGCCTGCCCCGGCCTTGGGCAGGGTGGGGCTGGGCATGCTGGGCTGACCGGACGGGGGAGGGGGGACCGCGCGCGCGCTCGCAGCGCTGCAGGGCGGCGCGAAGAGGGGGCGCGCTTGGCGGCATTTTGCCCGCACTGCGGAAGGAGCTCTCTCCCAAGAGCGGCTCGCCGCGGGGGGTCCCCTGCTCCATCCTCGTCGGCACCTCCTGCCCCTCCCCCGCCTCTCGCTCGAGGTGCGGAGGCCCTTGCAGAGGCCTCTCCTCGAGCCTCGGGCGGAGGCCCGCGGCGGGCGGCGCCCCGCGCCCCCAAAGCGCGCGGCGCGGGCGTCCCGCATGCCAGGGCGCGCAGGTGGCACCCTCGGGCGAGCCGCCGCCGGAGGCCGGACGGCGCCGCGGAGTCGGGAGCCTTGAGACGGGGGTCAACGCAAACGGGGGTCAGCCAGGGCGCCAGATCCTGCAGGATCCTGCGAAGACCCCCTCTGGCTAACCCGGGTCTGCGAGCCGCTCGTGGCCGCGAGGCTGCCGCGCGTATTGGCCGACCCGGGTTTGCGAAGACCTGCGTTGCAGTTTTTTTTTTTTCCTGCATTGCAGTTTTTGGTTTCCTGCTGACCCGGGTCTGGATTGACCCGGGTCAGGAGATCCCCGACGGAGGCGAGCGGGCTTTGGGCAGAAGACTTTAAGGGACTAAACTCGCACAGACACAATTAATCGTCGACTCCCCCAAACAGATGGGAAACTATATGAAGTGGGGGGAAGACAAAAACCCAGAAAATATTTGAAAATATAGGGAATCGTGTTATTTGTGTATATTCATGTATGTGTCCCAGGGCCCCTTCAGATTTGGCGCACTGAGGCTCTCCGTGCGGCAGTATCTGCAGCGCGCGCGAGCCCCGCACTCTTTGTTCTGCTTGCCCGCCGGTCGTTGGAAGCAGGCTTTCCCTGGGAGCGTCCCAGGTTCCAAGCTGCCTTGAGTGCCTTCCTGCTTCGATGATCGAGTGGCTTCACCCCTTCCGTCCTCCTTGGGGGGCGGACGGAGCCCAATCTTCGTTCAGCGCCTTCCTGCTTCATGCCTCTACCTGCTCCTTCCGACCGATGGGTAGCATTCGCACAACAGGCGCGTGCGTCTTAGTGGGCCCCGGAAACGTCAGGGCCGTTTTTTCCGAGAAAGTGCCCCTTGAAAATGGAAACGGCAAAAACACGGCGACCGGAAACGGCAACACAATCGGCTCCAGCATTGGGACTGGAGCCGGAACCGGCAACAAAAACGGCGACGGGACCGGTGAAAAAAACGGCGTCGGAAGCGGCAAGAAAACTCGGGGGTGGACAGACCTCCCACCCTGACACGTCGATTGGTGAATTGCCCGTTTTCGGTTTTCGAGAGGGTGCCGCGGCCGTCATTTTCCAGGCTTGCGCCCGCCAGGTTTGGACTCGAGGTCGTTTTCACTAAACCACGTTTTGCTAAAGGGGGTTCTGTCCATCCCCGAAAAACGGCAAAACGGAACCGGTAAAAAAACAGCCTTGCCGTTTCCAGGGCCCACTTGAGGCGTGCGTGCACCCCCGCGCGTTCGAGAGGGGTGGAGCACCGGGGCCGCGCGGGGACGGCCAGGGGCGGGGCTCGGGGGAGGCGGGGGGTCCATGCACACGGGGAAGTCAACCTGAAGTCGGGCCTGTCCCCCTACAGGGGGATTGTCGACGAAAAATAAGAGATACACCAGAAATAGTCAGAAGATAATGCCAAAATAGTCCGGGGACTATTTTTGGAGTATTTTGTTACCTTTTGGGGAGTACTTCTGGGGTAGTTCTAATTTTTCGTCGAAAATCCCCCTGTAGGGGGACGGGCCCGACAGAAGGTCAGCCAGAGCGCGGGGTCTTGCAGGATCCTGCAGGGCCGGGGTCGCACGGACCTGGGCTGGCGTGCAGAGTCCTGCAGGATCCTGCAGGATCTTGCAGGGTCCTGCAGGGCACGACTGGCCCGGGTTCTGATGGACCCGGGTCAGCAGGGCCTCGACAGAGAGGTCGATTCGCAGAGGTCCTGAG